TTGAGGAGATTAAGAACTAGATAATAAAAAGCATTGACATACCTAAATACCACAGATAGGTAATCTGTCTTGACTCTCATGACAATGTCAGTAGGCATCTCTAGATTTTCAGGAATCTGGCCATGTGGATAATAGTTTCAGATTCACAGTGCCTGTCAAATATTTGTTGGATTCCTCCCCATCAAGAGTTTCATTTTTGGTAAATAAAAAAGAAGTTTGATGTGTTATGAGGGATCTAATTCATCTAGCATTGTAGAAGAATTGAAAAGAAAACAGAGGATGGGGAGAGAGACACCGAAAGATGCCAAGTCATTAGTGAAATTATCAGGTCAAAACTAATGGCTGTGCTCCATGAACACCAGGAAAGTAATTCAGGCCACAAACCACAATTGAAAGAGAATGAAAATGTATTACCTGGACAAGGCAGGATGCAGTGTAGCTTCAGGGGGGGATGCTCTGCAGTTATTTCACTGTACTGCGTTTCTGTGGCAAAGCCAGGGCTGCACTTACCCAAGTGCTCCTTATTTGAGTGTGAGTTCAGTGTCATATAACATTTACCAGCTGCAGAAGAGAGCAGAGCTTGATCTCCAGATCCCACCTCAGCTGAGCCCTGTGCCTGTTCAGGGTCCTCGGCCCCTGCCTGGGTAAGGCCGTCTCTAGCTCTGGTTTAGCTCCTCTCTAACCCTGTCTCAGTAAGCAGTTCTGCAGATCTGGGAAATCTTGTGGGTTTAGGGGGGGGAAAAAAGCATCTCATTTTGTCAGAGCCCTTCAACGAGAGCAATCTTTTAGCCACCCACACCCATCAGGTAACTGTGCTTGGTCAGACACCAAAACCAAAGTCAGGCTTGAGCCACCAGTGATTCCAGTGTAACCTTTTCCTGGGAAGGGCTCAGGGAAGCTCACGTGTTCTCAGACTGCATTAATGCCCACTTGGAATCTTTGCTGCCTCTTTCTCCCATTTCACCCCCAGGGGCACCTTCTCTGGTCTCTGTCTGACACGGGACCAGCAGCTCCACAAACCCAGTGGCTTATGGGGGCAGAACATCTCATTGCTCTTTGACTGACAGTCATTGGCATCCAAAATGCTCTTTCTGTGTTCCCAGCTGTTCCCCATCTGAGAAAACTAAGGAGGGGGAGGTGGAATAACGGGGTCAGGTGTGACTCTTGCTCAGGGTAAAAATGAATTATAGTCATAAACCTTCAGAGAGCTCAGCAGCCACAGGTACATGAGTTGGAAGGAACAGAGCTGTTTGCACGAGTTGAGGAAACATCACTGAAATCAGTCTCACACATAATTCAAGGCAAAGTGAAACTCACTGTTACTAAAGAAAGCAAAGTTTACATGATTTGTTAACTGATGGAGTCTGATTACAAAAAATAAACTATGAGATTTATAGACTCCAAAAGAGATCCCTAATCCATAAGACATGAAGTGCCTCATAAGCTGAAGGCTACAGAGTCCATTTGTCCTCATGTTCTGCATGGTTGTTTTACAAACTGCTACTTTGTCCTCTCTTGATACCACGGATAACCTGATGCTTCCTGGTAGAGCTGGACAAATGCTCACCAGCTCAATAGGTACAAATGTACACAATTTTTCCACTTCGGAGGAGAAAAATCCCACTTTTTTCTAATTTCTAACTACTAGACAGCTGGCCACAGTTAAAGCACCATCTAGTACTTTCTGGTTAGCCTTAGCTATACGCATATTTGTAATTTTCAAAACCTAAACTGTAGTTACAGAGTTATGATGGTATCCATTACACTGGTGCTTTTTTATCATTGTTACAACTTCTGCCCAAAATGTTGGCAGTATTAGGACAATTCAGCAACATGTAATTTAACTTACCTCGCATCCAGAGCCGAGGGTGGTCCCTCTGATCAGGTCCGAGGTCACTGATGGGGCAGGTTCAGCGAAAGTTGTCCTTGCCTTTGCCAGAGTCAGCCTGATGAGGGAAACCCAAAAGCTCTTTTATCAGCTCTCCCCCATCACTGTGCGACCTGCACCAGATCTCCCTCATGGGAAAACCACACGTGGCCAAACCAAAGAGCTCATCACCATCCTGGGAGTCAACCTGCCAGCGTGGTTCTATGAGCACTGCCAGGCTGAGATACCCATCCCCTGTGGTGTGATACACCACAGCTGGCTTTATTCCTTCTCATTTATTGGTGTTTAATTTAAATGGGGCCGGTGACTCCATTTCCATCCGAGCAATACCAAAGCTGGGTGTAAGCACAAAGCAGCTGTGCTCTGCCCTCACGGGCCCTTAACCACCATCAAACCCCTCCCTGCACCTCTGCACTTTTGGACTTCATCCTGCTCGGGCTGTGACCTGCTCCTGCCCACAGGGAGGAGCAGCCCAATTGCCACTGATGGGGCAGAAGGCAGCGAGCCGTGTCTCCTGCTCCCGTGGCCCAGTGCCAGATACGGAGTTACGGAGCCACGGGCAGATGTTCGATGAAGGTTCCAAGGGGCTGGATCATACACCCAGGGACCAGAATAGCATCAAACAGCCCAGATCCTCAATCCTCACTTTTGTCATTACCAAGCACTATTTCAGCGTGAGATGGGGCCCAAACCTCCCCTGGCTGCTCACAGTTGCCTACATGACCTTTAGTTAACCTGGTTCAGCTATTAAGCTCATCTTGTTCCACCCCCTGCCATGGACAGGGACACCTTCCGCTAGACCAGGTTGCTCCAAGCCCCATCCAACCTGGCCTTGGACTCCGTGGGAGTGAAAATATGGAGAGAGAGAAGAGAATCTAACAAAGGAAAGGGAGAGGGAGAAACCCCGATGAAAAAGGATAAGGTGAAAACAAAAAAAGAGCTTATTACAGAACAGATAGTGCATTCTTAGCCACAGCAGGAATGAAAAGTCTTTCATCAGGTTCATGGTTTGGAGGCTCAGAGAGTGTACTTTATGTTTCTCCTGTCTTGGAGCAGCAATTCCCATTTCCAGGCAGCCTCACACCTCCTGCACTCACCATGGGCAGTGGGGACACAGCGTTGGGAAAGCAGTGATGTGGGAAGGGCTCTGGCATTCCCTGACACCTGCCCCCATCAGACCAGAGGGGAATTGCAGGGAGCCCCTCTGGGATTGGCAGGAGCTGAGGACACAGAGGGCAGGATGGAAGCCTCAGCCAAATTCGGGATACCGAGACATAAATCACATTCTAGTCCCTTTTTCTTTCCCTGTGGGAAATGGAATTCCTTAACCCATGGCTAGGCACATGCTGGCCAACCTGAAGGGGCTCCAGCCTTGGCCAAGAGAGAACAATCAAATGCTCTTTTTGAGGGTGACTGCAAACCTTTGAAATGAGCACCCCTGGGAGACCTCAGCTCACATCTTTCAAAGAGCCAGCAAAAATCCCAGCTTAGGGAAAAGAAGGATTTTTAGATGTTGTTATTACTTTTAGAGATAATGCCTTTTCCATAAATCAAGAAGGGATATGTATAATTAGTTGTCATAGAATCATAGAACATCCTGAGCTGGAAAGGACCCACAGGGATCCCTGAAGTCCAGCTCCTGGCCCTGCACAGGCCACCCCAGCAATCCCACCCTGTCCTTGAGAGCTTTCTAAATGCTCCTTGAGCTCTGGGTGTCAAATGTACTAAAAGGCAAAAGGGAAACAGCAGCCACAATTTTCCTATGCAGTGTGATTTAACACCACCACAGAATATAGAAGAGTCATGTGTCAGCATCCCTGTAAAGGCCTTTTCTGGAATACTAAATCCAAGCTGCTGTAACACTGTGAGGTCACTCACAGGCCTGTCCCTCAGAGCCTACGCTCCTCTCTGCTGCCACAGCTGGCACCTGCTATTTCCTGCATCAACAGCATCTACACAAACAGACCAAAGACACAAGTCCTTATTTAAAAAGGGAGCAGGATCACACTGACCTTCCAGCTCATCCCATTCCACCCCCTGCCACGGGCAGGGACACCTTCCACTAGCCCAGGGTGCTCCAAGCCTTGTCCAACCTGGCCTTGGACACTTCCAAGGATGGGGCAGCCACAGCGTTCTCTGGGCAACCTGTGCCACGCCAGTTATGACTGAGGAGGACTGGTGTGAGTGGGGAATGTGTATAGAATGGATTTGCTTACGGGAGCTGTATCATACAATTTCTCTGGGAAGCAGAAACCATGGCATACTTCGGAGTATTTCCCATCTGACTTTCTTTATTTCCTCATATCTTAACAAACATAACAAATTGAAACATGGTGCTATTTCTTTTCTGTTCTGTAATAAAAAAAGATACGTTATTTTGATGCCCAGAAAATACATTAAACATTCATTTATTTGTGAGATTTTCATTATATTATTACATACGCCTTGGTTTGGTTCATAGGAAATGTACAGTTCAACGTGCTAATTTTATTACCAATTTTATAAAGGCATGGAGCTTTATACCAGACAGGTGAGAGAGTTTCCCATGTATTGCTGAGTACAGGTGAGACTGGAATTCAAGCAATATGCCTTATCCTTGTGATAGAGTAATTTCAGAGAGAGGTGCTTGTTTAATTAGAATCAAACATAATCTTACAATCAAATAATAAGTACAAAAAAAAGGGACGGGTTTTTTTTTTAATATGTGCAATAGCTTGTTAGTCTCCTACTATTTCTAATTCCTTTTGCACTTTGTCTTGTACCTGCAGCTGAATGGCACTTCTTAAATATCCAGGCTGAACTTTTCAGGAATTATTAGCAATTCTAAGAGCCTGTTCAGAGTTATCCTATGGGGGCCCAAACCCAAGTATTTAGCACTCTCTGACAATGTGAATCCCTTAAGGTAGATAATATTGAGGTGAAATTATTAATCCTTACCCAACTGCTTCCATCCAGAGATAGCATATATTCATCCCAAATGAACTGTGACATCTCTTTTGTTCCACAGCCTCAGTCACTCAGGTTATCTGGCCAAGGAGCAATAGTTGAGATCTGCCTAAACATTTAGAAAAGTTTCAAATTTCACTAGGCAGCCGAGCATTTTTACACACTACTTATTTATACAGACAAACTACATCAGGCTCACTTAATCCGCTCCACCCTATGCCTAACCAACGTAATGGCTCGCTATTTGTCTTAAACTATAAACCAAATATTTAAAAACAAAACAAACAAAGAACACTATTGGGTTTTACAAACAAGTATATGGCATAATAGCTTGTGGTAATGCTGCAGGCTGGAGCCCTGGGGTGCAGAGGCCCCCTCAGAACCAGTACTCGGACACGAAGATGTGGACGTTGACGATGTTCCGGTGGGACACCACCCCCCCCATCACGTAGTTCATCTCCAGCTTCAGGATGGCATGGAAGGGTCCAACAATGGGCCTCACCTGGCGAACTACACCTGTGGGGACAGGAATAGGTTGGTGGGATTAACAGGAGAATCAGCCAGGTCTGGATGAGCTACGCTGCCCTTTGTGGAATGGCATTTTATCTATTGGGTCTCACAATAAAGCTGGCAAAATGAGAATAAAATACAACTTGCACATTGAAATACCTTGAAGAGGATATAGAATTAGCACTAAAATGCTGCTAAAGGCAGAAAAAACCCTATATATTCTGAAGTCAGCAATATTTTTTTTACCTTTTATTCAGAGACATAAATTCAATAAGCAGGCTGTGACACTGCTTTCCCACAGGAGATTTCCCTGGATAAACCAGCACGCACATTGCCACAAGCACACCTGGGGATGGCATACCACTCCTGGGTCTGTGTTGAAAACCTCATTTCATTTGGGACAGCAGAAATCATTCTGGAGAGCAGCCCCTTTCCAGCACACTCCAGGCAGGGACCGAAGCTGAAATCACGCTCCTGGACTCTGGGCAGAGTGTGGGACAGGACCTTGGGGAGGCACATCTGGGCCACGAGGTGTTATCAGTACCTTGACATGATGTGGCTGAACAGAACAGGGTTACAGCTTCAGACCTACAAAAGGAAGTCAACACAAGCTCTGCCATTGACTCCAAAGGCTCCAGGTCAGGTCCTAAAACATGTTCTCACTTCACTTACACTCCCTAGGCCTGGTGTTACAGAGCAGGCAGCTCCCAGCTGCTCCCAGCTGGAAGGATGTACCCAAATGTCCAGACCACACGAAGCCAAGGGCAGCAGGCACTGGGAGCCCCTCCTCAGATAACAGACTGAGCTGACAGGGCCTTTGGTTCAGAAAGAAATACAGGGTGCAAGGAAGAAGGTTCTCCTCCTGCCTTGTGTGCTGGGGGTTGTGTTTCACAGGCAGGCAGCACACCAGTGCCATCCCAGAGTCCCAGCTGAGCTCCTGCAGCCACTCCCTATCAGCACACTGGCCTGAGATCTGATGGGAGACAGAAACATTTGCTTATGCAGGCTGTCAGCACCTTTTGCTAAGGGAGGGATGACATTACAGCTTTGTCCTGTTCAAACACTAACTAATACCTTCAGCATGCAGGGAAATTGCAAACTTTTCACCACAGTCACTTTCCTTGCCATATTTGATGAATACACTTTTTAAGCATCCTTCCCCCTACAATTTATATGTACATACATTTATATATATATATATATTTATTTTTTTTTAACTTTCTTGGCTACTCTCCTGCAGCTTATAAAAATGACTGGGCTTGGCAGATGATGTATTGAAACAGAAAAGCCTTGCTAACATTGCCCTCCCTTTAGGGTCACACTGAAAGCATTTTGCTAACAACCCCCCATCCCATTATTGCAGGCCCTGCTCTGACTGACAACCACGGAAACACGCAGCGTTGGCATCACTCAGTGCTGGCAGGCTGGAACCCACCCTGGGAGCAGCTCTTGCTGTCATCACCAAGCTCTGAGAGCAAAGGCTGCTGGTTCCATTTAGCAACGGTTTTACAGCATTCTACACTCTCTTGCCCTGCTCTTGTAGAGTCTACTCTGGTCTGGAGGAGGGATTGCCAGTGGTGTCTTTTCTGCTGTGCTATGGCATCCCTTCACACATCACTGCATCCAAAGCCATTTGTAACCTTCTCCATCCTGTTTGGCTGCATCCTGCTAACAGGCAGGATGAAAGGGAGGGATGGGCAAGCTCTGCCATCTGTGTGGCAGTGCCTTTCCACACAGCTTCAAAATCAAGCCTATAAAATGGTTGGGAAGTGAATGCCATGCATGCTGACAGCTCTGCTGAAGCAGAGACTGAGGGAATGGACAGAAACACAACACCACCACAACATTAAATAAAACGGAAAAAACAACAAACAAAAACTCCAGCCAATGTCCTGAAATGACCACCCTGAAGAAACTATTTCAGTCCTCTCCCATTAAATGAACAGGATGATCCAGCAGGTGGGTTTGTGCTACAGCAGGCGTGTAAGGATGCAGTCATTTGGAATGGGCAGAAGGAAAAAAAAGGAGTTAGGGGAAAACCTTGAAATGTTCTACTGGACGAAAGCATGAGAGGTTTGCAGCTCTTGGCAGATTCACTCCTCGAGAGCTTCACGTTTTTGTTTTGTGACAAGTGCTAAAATTGGAAACCTGAGTATTTGTCTCCACCAAACTCAAGGACAAATGCAAGTGGGAACTGTGCAACAGCAAAGCTACTCAGAGCCTGAAATCGGGCTCCATGCTTATCCAGTTCCCAGTGATCCTGTCACAGTGCTCCCAGGACTTGCCTCAGAAATGCTGTGAAAGGCCACCTTGCAGAAGGTGTTGCTGCCATTTGGTGCTGCCTGTGTGTGGTTCTCTGCTGTCTCGTGCCTTTCGTGGGAGGTGCAAGGGAGGGACAGCTCTGCCAGACCCAAACAAGGCCAGCAGTGCCAAACAGAAATCCAGAGAAAAAGCTTGAGATCCAGGCACGGTCCCTGTAATTCACACACATGGCTCAATGAAATCAGTCAATATCCAAAAGCATTTAGCCCAGGACACATTTGAAGGAGCCACATGTAATAATTCTGGATGTTTTCAAGCACCATGGATTTAGGAGACACTGCACCATTTGCATCAACATACTGTTTCACTCTCCCTTTTGGCAGACTGGTGGGTCCAGATTGGTGGTCTGGCATCCGTCACAGTTTATAGCTGAATATTAAGTATAAAAACATACCTTACAGTAACAGGAAGGTTACAATTTTTAGATGCACTGAAAAGTCAGGAAATGCAGAAATTAAGCTGCTGCTTTTTGGTATCCTTTTTTACCAGTCTAAATCCAAAGTAGCTGGATGGAGCCACTCAGATTTGACATGGGGATAACTGCAGATTGGGAATCAGTCCTGGATGAATGCAGCAGTGTCCACTGTCCTGTGAGTCGCTCTCTGTAGGATGTCAGGAGCACAGTGGTGCTGCTCAGTAAATGACCTGAAAATAGAGGCCTCTCACATAGCAACACTTGGTCCTTTTGGGGACCAAAACTTCAGGCAAATGGGGTGAGTTTATTTAAGGAAGTTCACCCCAATCTCTTCCCAAGAAAATTACTTTCAGCTAGGTAAGCATTTTGCACACACAAAAAAATGTGTCTATATTTGGACAGGGAGAATCACTGATAATAAATGAACATGGAGGTTCCCACTGCTGCTGAATCCCATGTGTTGGGCATCCTTGAGCACCTACAGGCACATCTGTGGCAGCAATTGCTAGTGCCTTGCAGCCTGCTGTGCTGCTGGTGCTGCTCCTTCTCTTTGGTCCATAACCTGTGACCCGAGCACAGGCTCAATCTGCAGAGAATGCCCCGTGTCACAGGCCAGGCAAAGGCCTTCCATCAGCTCACCTGTGTTTGGATTTGCTGTTTTGTTAACGGAGCAGAGATGTCATTACACACCCCAAATCTGCTTGGCTATCTTCATGGTTTGTTGACCTCCTTTAGAAAGCAATGATAAGACTTATTTTTTCCTGCACACTTTACCCATATTGTAAACAGGATCTGTGGCCATCCTTTCCACCTGCTGATCTGTGTAAGCAAACAGCCTTGGAGTGAGAGGCAGCAAGTTTTTGGATGTCACAGTGATAGTCTGACCATGGCCCAGAACGTCTAAAGCTCCGTAATTAATACACTGAGCTGTTCTCTTTTCCTGTTTCTTCTTTCATGTTTCATATTTTAGTTTTGTCTAAGGTAAAAGTATGTCACCCTGTATAGTGAGGACAATAACCTAAATAATATATAATACTTACTTTCCGATGCTTTTAGTGAAGGAATTTTTCCTAATATCCAGTCTAAATCTCCCCTGGTGCCACTTGAGGCCAGTTCTTCTCCTCCTGTCCCTTGTTCCCTGGAGCAGAGCCCGCCCCCCACATCCTGCTCCCCTCTCTTGTCAGGGAGTTGCAGAGCCAGAAGGTCCCCCCGAGCCTCCTTTTCTCCAGGCTGAGCCCCCCCAGCTCCCTCAGCTGCTCCTCACCAAACTTGTTCTCTAAATGCCACAGGTATTCCTTGGCTTGTCTATGCCTCTTTAAGATATCATTACATTTCTCTGCTTTGAAATATGTGAGACCCTCAGGCAGTTCACCTCTGTGTCTGGTTTCTGCTTGTACTTCTGCGTGAGGCAGCTGATTTGCTGCGGAGCTCCATCTCCAGCTGAGGGGAGGCACTGCTGTTGTGTTACCACCTTAACCTGTTCTAGGGTGCAAGACCCTCCCTTACCACGAATTCACATTTTGCCTCCAGAAATCCAGACTCTTAGTTCTGACTTCTGTGCTAAGCTCACTGCCCAGTATGCTGAAGCACTTGCAAAACTCTTTGAAAATCCTTTTTTTAAAAAAACAAACAAACAAACAAACAACTTTCTTCCTTTTTTTCACTGCTAACCGCAAAACTGCTGCACTTACACTCTCAGGGGACCTGGGTCGTGGTGTTCCTCACACCCCTGGCTGAACACTGCATTTGAATTTTCTCTAGAGAAAGTTCCTCCAACAGGGACCTCTATGGATTGCAGAAAGCAAAGCAGAACCAAAGCACTGATGTTCACACTGCCACAAGAAAAGGCTGGTTCGCCTTGGTTACATTTTCTATTCCAGAGCTGAAGCTCACAGGGTTTTCCACAGGGACTGATTCTTGAGTCCAGTCAAATATTTAAATCTGTATCATCATTAAGAGCACAGAACAGACATAAGTTGCACCCATTCTTCGAAAAGAGAGCCTCAGAGAACCCAAACTTTTAAGGATCCCCAAAAAATCAATCAGAGAAGTATCAGTGGAGCCTGTGAGGAATCAAGGGCTGCCAGGGGCTGTATCTGATGTCTGTTGGAACTGAACTCCTCTTGCCTTACCTGCCTATGCAGTTATATGTATCTGTGTATATAAAAACAATCCCAATTACTGCCAAATCAAAAGTTATTCTTCCAAATAACCCATGAGCTACGCTCAGAAAAATACAGTAAACACTGTTATCAAAAATGGGATCAAT